TTCTCAATAATCCTCCAGTACTACAAACAGGGAACAGGGAGTATCTGTCTCTCTTTATATTATGTAGGATGTGGTTGCCAGTGCCCTCCTTCATCCAATCCTTTGTTAGGTTGAGCGAACTGATATGTATTGTCCTCCATGATAATTATTATACATTGACAATCTAGACTGTGTGAGGACTTACTAAGCATACAGTACTGTACATTTTACAGTCACATGCAGATGTTAATTGACCAGTGTTTGCACTGAACACTGTAAGACATATGACATATACGTAGACATTATGTCATCTGTACTGCATGATTGAGAGAGAGAGAGAGAGAGAGAGAGGAATTTGTGTTCTAGTGTCAGCATTTATTTTTTTAAGCAAAGACAGAAACAACAAACTACATATTCTTGGCATGTCACACCATTGAAAGGGTTTTATTTCCTGGACCCAACTTCACAGATATTATTTGAGCGTTATTTCTGAACATTACATTTCATTTCTATAAAATAAAGTATACAGCATTACGATCTCCTATACTGCTGTCACAGAATGATACAATATGTGCACCTGAAAAGATGAATAGATGTTTTTGTTCACTTGTCAGGAGGAATATTAATTTCAGAAAAATGTGCACTTGAAATTTGGTGTATTGATGCGCTGTGGTGCCATTCTGAATGGCCCCTCAATGCACTTCCACAACGCACCCCAATGTGCAGCGTGCATGCTGCACTGCACTTTTTGTGTCTTGAGGTTCATTGCATTGATTTTGAAAGGGTTGCCTAAAGCAGCATGCCAGAACATACCTCAACACATAAGTATGTGTATTTTGTGGTGCTGTGTGTCATAGTGTGAACAGACCCTAAAGGTCTAAAATCCTTTCCACTCCACCCAAATTTTCAACTTTCAATGTGCATGTTTTTGTTTTTTTTAAAGAAACACAATGCGGCAGTTTTATTTGCACAGCCAACTGTGACCTCCTGTTCTCATGCAAAAAGGTGCCTTTATTGTTCCCTTGCGGAGTCACAGAGGATGAGGTGGTGCAATATCCTGGACACCCAGTCCCACAATACCAAGAACACCTAACAGAAGGGATGAATGACAACACCACAAGCAGAGAAACAAGGGTCCGCCATTCCATGCTTTTGGATGTGTGCCTCTCCTTATAGGAAAGACTCCTTATAGGAAGTTCATGTTTTTTTAAACCTCACTTTTGTATCCCTTCTGCTGTAATAACATGTAATATATTAAGAGTTTCTGAACTGTTCATCCAACATCACCCTGGGCTGGGGGGACACAATTTGCTGAAGCAATCATTGCTTATGACAGTGTTAGTTCAAAATTGTAGAGGGTTTTATGTATGGTCCCCGACACTTCCAGAGGGATGCATAAAAGGAGCTAGTTTCCATTTGTTGAAGTGCATTGCATTTTGGAAGTTTGACTTAGGAAGCCTATTCATGGGCTGTAACACACCTCAATGCCTGAACATTTCCATTCTGCTGTATTTATTTTACTGCAACGCACACTGAAGAGAATACAGGAGTGAAATAAACCCCATTGTTGCTGTCAGTGGCAGTAAAGGTAACTCTCAGCATTGGTGCCACTGGCTGCAATAGTAACCCCAGCATTGGTGTCAGTGGTCACAATAATTTCCCCTATTTTGATGTCAGCATTGGTGTCAGTGGATGCAATAATAACCACCAGCATTGGTGTCAGTGACTACAATAGTAACCCCAGCATCAGTGTTAGTGACTGCAATAGTAACCCCAGCATTGGTGTCAGTGGACACAATAATAAAACCCATTTTGATGTCAGTGGACGCAATAATAACCCCCAGCATTGGTGTCAGTGACTACAATAGTAACCTCAGCATTGGTGTCAGTGACTGCAATAATAACCCCAGCATTGGTGTCAGTGACTGCAATAATAACCCCAGCATTGGTGTCAGTGACTGCAATAATAACCCCAGCATTGGTGTCAGTGACTGCAATAATAACCCCAGCATTGGTGTCAGTGACTGCAATAATAACCCCAGCATTGGTGTCAGTGACTGCAATAATAACCCCAGCATTGGTGTCAGTGACTGCAATGGTAACCCCCAGCATTGGTGTCAGTGACTACAATAATAACCCCCAGCATTGGTGCCAGTGACTACAATAGTAACCCCAGCATCGGTGTCAGTGACTGCAATAGTAACCCCAGCATTGGTGTCAGTGGATGCAATAATAACCCCCAGCATTGGTGTCAGTGACTACAATAGTAACCTCAGCATTGGTGTCAGTGACTGCAATGGTAACCCCCAGCATTGGTGTCAGTGGATGCAATAATAACCCCCAGCAGTGGTGTCAGTGACTATAATAGTAACCCCAGCATTGGTGTCAGTGACTGCAATAGTAACCCCAGCATTGGTGTCAGTGGCTACAATAGTAACCCCAGCATTGGTGTCAGTGACTACAATAGTAACCCCAGCATTGGTGTCAGTGACTGCAATAGTAACCCCAGCATTGGTGTCAGTGGACACAATAATAAAACCCATTTTGATGTCAGTGGACGCAATAATAACCCCAGCATTGGTGTCAGTGATTGCAATAGTATCCCCCAGTGGCAAGGAATCACCTGAGACCCTATTCACCCCTGGGTGCTGTGAAGTACGTTTGCTGAAGCGTCTCAATGCTCAGCATGAAGAATCCCATTATTTTCAGTGGCGCCTGTTCCCATCTGAGCCTCCTGTCACCCGCCTCTTGTACCTTGAGGCCTCATTCAAACTAAAGAGTGAATGTAGCCAGGTAAATTAGGGCCCGTTCCCACTATAACATTGCGTGATGCACACATTACCTTGTGTTTAGTGCACGCTGTTGCACCTAGCATGTGATACTGTGACATCGTGACAACTCATGAAGTGCAACGTGAATATACTGTACATAGAGTGTATACCCAACCAGGAACCATATCCACCCCAATGACGTCATACAGGATCCCCCTATAATGATAAAATAAACAGTATGAGGGGAATTTATCAAAACTGGAGCAGACAAAATCTGGAGCAGTTGTGCATGAAAACCAATCAGCTTCTCTGTTCAGTTTGTTCAGTTACATAGTTACATAGTATTTGAGGTTGAATAAAGACATTAGTCCATCAAGTCCAACCTATTAGGATCTCATTCTAGGAGTACCTGTACCCCTGTATATTACGGTCCCTTAAGAAATCGTCCAAAAGTTTTTTGAACAATTCCACATTATTTGCTGAAATCACCGCCTGTGGCAGTGAGTTCCAGACCCTAAGGCCCCATTCACACCTGACCGTTTTGTAGCGCGTCCTACGCTCGATGAACGCTCTACAAAACGGTCAAAAAAATAAATAGCATTGTAGTCAATGGTATCGTTCCCACCTGTCCGTATTTCCGCCCGTCCCGAACGCACTACAAAACGGCCCACGCATGAAAAGGTCCTGGAGCGTTTTTGCTGCGTATTGGTCCGTTTTGTAGGACGTTTTCCATTTGGATACTGCAAAGTAGCCTTTGGAATCGCGCGACGGTCGCGCGACTTTTTTACCGCGAATCGCGGTAAAAAAAAACGCGTGACGGTCGCGCGACAGACGCGCATAATACAATACGCATAGGTGTGAATGGGGCCTAACTGATCTTACTGTGAAGAACCCCCTTCGCCCCTTGTGCTGGAATTTTTTTCCACCAATTTTAGGTGATGGCCTCTAGTTTTTGTAATGGAGTTAATAGGATATGAAAATGAAAGAGAGAAGCTGATTGGTTGCCATGCACCACTGCTCCAGATTTTGTCTGCACCAGTTTTGATAATTTCCTCTTTATGTACGGGGGATCCAATACATCCTACCCAGTGAGAGATACATGATGAAAAAACCATGTGCAATTAACATATCAATATTGTCAGATGTATGACCTCATACAATAATAAACTCGCAGTTCAAACTGCTGCATGAGCTTCTCTGCAACATTGGTTGCCCGTAGGGTGACTAATTAAAATTAATGGGCTGCCCTACGCTGACGCATAGCAGTTGCAGCAAAATGCATTCACATACGAGCGTCTCATGAACGCGTGTCAAACGCACACAATAGTACACGCTTTGAACAGGGCTGTATTTACCATTAGGCAGAGTAGGTACGTGTCTACATGTGCCCTCCGTAGAGGGGCGCCATGCAGGTACCTACTCTATCTAACTTCTGATGTTGTGTCAAGGTACAACACCGGCAATAGCAAGCAGGGTGCCTTCTGCACAAAATGCACCCTCCTGCTCCAAGATCAGAGGCGCCTACAGGAACCGCCGGCTTCTGCACACGCAGGGGAAGGACCCCAGCGCTGAGTAAGGACGCCTTGTAAAACACCTGTCTGATGAGGGCAGGCATTTAGGGCAGCCTTACGTGACGCCGGGGTCCTTCTCTGCATATAGGAAAGCCAGCGGGTCCCAGAGCAGGTAAAGGCGCCACCTCAGGCTAAACAGATTTTCATTCGTGCCTACAAGCGCCAAAAATGGAAATCCAGCCCTGGCTTTGACGCGCGTTCATGAGACATGCGCAAATGCGGAATGTGCTTGCGTTGCTATTACTAGGTAATGCCACCCCATATGCTGCCATTCTAATCTATCCTGTGCATCCACACACGTTGGAACATGCACAAACACGCAGGAAAAGAACAGCGCATGTTGCAGATTTTTTGCCGACGTTTGTTGTGCGTCCAGGGACTCAGTGGGGATGCATGACAAATGTGGGAAACAAACTTCTGCGAATGTGCGTCACTTCGACGCTGTGGTGTGAATGGCGGCTATTTTAGGGACCTGAATCGCCTGGCTATGCTCATGCATGAATGGGACAGCTTGAGCACTTTTGAGGCTGTTGTGGAACTACCAGTCCCAGCACATATCTGGAGAGCACAGTATATTATTAATACTATTATTAGTATATCATCCTGAGATTATCCCCATTGTACTTCTAGCAGACACTTCCACTTCAGTCTCCCTCATTCCAGAGGTCAGTGCAGCCTAGGCAGTGTATAAATACTAGTTTGTCCTCGCAGGCCGCCGTACTTCTCTCCTCCCTGGCTGCAGACTGCTAGAGACTGGAAATCAATCTGCGCCCGGGCAGCGGCTGGAGGAGGTATGTGTCATCTGTGTGCAGACACAAGGGATTCTGCATGTGTTTATGACATGGCTGCTATCACACGATTAGGACAATAATCGGCCTGTATTGTAACAGTAGCTGTCTGCAGACAGATGTCTGTCCTGAGTGTTCGATTTAAATTCCTGAGATAGACACTGGGGATGTGAAGTCACACTGTCTGGGGGAGATCTGCACCCATCACAACACTGGAGGGCTCTGCTCCCATCACAACACTGTTCCTGGGGGGGCTCTGCACCCATCACAACACTGTGCTTGGGGGAGATCCGCACCCATCACAACATTGTGTTTGGGGGGGATCTGATTGCACACATCACAACACTGTGTCGGGGGGGATCTGAGTGCACCCGTCACAACACTGTGTCTGGGGGAGATCTGCACACCCATCACAACGCTGTGTCTGGGGCAGATCTGCACACCCATCACAACACTGTGTCTGGGGGAGATCTGCACACCCATCACAACACTGTTCCTGCCACAACTGGCCTTTAAAGCCCCCCACTGTGCTGCTGCTGTCTGCCTGCCAAGCAAAGTTCTCTTCCTTTATGTCTATGTGAGGGTACCCTTCATTGTGCTATCTGTGTGGCCATGATCATGGCTCTTTAACTGTTGGGTGAGTGTGATGTGTGCACACGCTGTCCTGGATAAATGCAGCTTTTGTGTCCCTGTGTATCTATGGATGCCAAGAGTCAGTTATGTGTTTGTAAATAGATGAAGTGGTGGAGTTTATCAAAGGATAGGCAGGCTGCAGATAATCATCAGACTGGAAGGCAGAATGTGTGTCCCTTGTGTGACTGTATACAGGGCTTATAGAAGACCTGTCCTCGGGGGTGAGGGGCTGTTATCCTGACAATGCTCATTGCCTAGCTTTTATGCCACACCAATGAGATCAGTACTTGACCAGGAACATGTGCCGATCAGGACGGCCTGAGAAGAGTTGGATGGCTAATGTTTGAAAACATTTTTTAGTGGATTGAATTTCGTTTATGCAGATGAGACTTTGTATGTTATGCCAAAAAATGTGTGTGTCTCCAGAGTGGGTCTAGAGGCACTCACGGGTCTTCCAGTGGAGATAAGTCTAAGAGTCAGAGTTTCGACAGAACTTAGTCTGTCTTTATTTTGATAAAAAGGGACTGAGCACCATCAAAACCAATAAAATTCTGTTTCTTTGACTTATCTCTGCGGTGAGTGCCTGTATACCAAGGGTAGGCAAATGCTAGCTGTGGTAAAACTACAAATCCCATCATGCATCTGTCTCTGGGAGTCATGCTGGTGGCTGTGAGAATCTTGCAATGCTTCATGGGATTTGTAGTCCCACAACAGCTGGAGGGCCAGAGTTTGCCTACCCGCTGGTCTATACATACTCTGTATATCTAATATGGGCACAGACCCATACACTAAGTAGGTACAGCACAGGGGTGGGCAAACTCCGGCCCTCCAGCTGTTGTGGAACTACAAATCCCATGAGGCATTGCAAGATTCTCACAACCACAGGCATGACTCCCAGAAACAGATGCAGAATGGGATTTGTAGTTTTACCACAGCTAGAGGGCTGGAGTTTGCCCACCCCTGGGCTATACCTAATTTGTGTGTCTAGACCAGGGGTATGCAACCTTGGCTCTCCAGCTGTGCTGAAACTACAAATCCCATAAGGCATTGCAAGCCACAGGCATGACTCCCAGATGCAGAAGCATGATGGGATTTGAAGTTTCAGCACAGCTGGAGAGCCAAGGTTGCCTACCCCTGGTCTAGACAGACAGACAGTGCCCGTGGTCCATGTGCCGTGTAGGTGCCACCGGAAGGTTGCATCATTATTGGCCAACCAATAGGCAAAGAAGGAAGATGTCTGATGCAGACAAGATGGTGGCAAGGAAGAGCATGAAGCTTTCTTCGCGGGAGGTGGGCAAACCTGTGAAGTAAGTGTGCCACAATGTGTACGTATGCTGTGTACACTTACACATTATGGCAAAAGCTCCTATATTGAAGCAAGATAGTCAGGCTTACCAGAAGGAAAGGTCAGCAATGGCGGCATCCATGCTTCTGTAACGACAGGCGCCACAGCCGGGACGGATCCCGACCATGCTGTTGAGATTCACCCAGCTGCATGAGTGACAGCAGGATCTGCCTATCTAAAGGCAGAACCAGCTGTGCCCGCCCCCTCCGCCGTTCATTCCTCCAGTCAGCGCTGGAGGAGCGGGGAGGGGGGAATCCCCAGCGGTGAGCAGTAACTGACAGTCGCCTCTCTGCAGGGAGCTGATCGGAAAGTGAGCGAGCGACGGTATGCGTTCGCTCACTTCCCGATCTATAGAACCGACCTGTGACAGTTTCATTGTCGCGCGTCGGCTCGAACTATGAGGTGAGTGAATTTGTGAAAATCACTCACCTCATAGTTCTCCTTTAACCCTTGCAATGGGAGGATGGGTAGTCCTACTGCAATGGTAAGTTGTTGTTTTTTTTTTTTCTTCTTTACCTGGAGTTTACCTGTGCTTGTCCCTTAAATGATTGACAGGTGCCAGTATACATTTTGCACTTGTCTGCGATGTTTAGTCTGTTTTCAGTGAAAACAAAGTCCTTTTTCTTCATGGGAATAAAGAGTGAATAGTCAGCGAATATTCCGAGAATAATAGGAAGTCTGTGCATCTCACCCCATGATCAGTGCTTATAAACTAAAATGCCTTCAGACATGGCAAAGGTTCACCCAGTTCATCTGTTTACATTTCTGTAGACCCTTCCCATGGTGCCCAGCTGATTCTGGTGGTGGGAAGAATCCTCCACCATCCTGGGTGGGTTTTCTTAGGTAATGGCTACTGTGCATTCATCCCTATCCGTGGGACAAGCTGGTGCTTACTCTGCAGGTCTTTGCGCTGCATAGTTGTTGGTAGATCTAAAGTAGGTTGTACTATCAGACTGTAACGTGTGTGGTAAGCTTTAGTTTACCTTAAAGGAGAACTATGAGGTGAGTGATTTCCACTCACCTCATGGTTCTAGCTGACCTGTGACAATGAGACTGTCACAGGTCGGCTCAGTAGATCGGGAGGTGAGCGAACACATACCGGGTTCCCTCACCTCTCGATCCTGTCACGGCTCTCTGCCGTGACAGGGGGAGGGGCTGGATTCCCCTCTCCCCGCTCCGAGCTGCCAGTGCTGACTGGCAGAACGGACGGGGAGGGGGCGGGTACAGCTGGCTCTGCCTCTAGATAGGCAGAGCCAGCTGTCACTCACGCAGCTGGGCGGATCCAGTCATCTACGTCGGGATCTGCTCCAGGTGCGGCGTCTCAGTATACCGCGAGCTGTAGCTCCCTATATACTGAGCTTAGGGTAACGGGAGGACTCTAGTTTGTGTCCTCCCGTTACCCTAAGGAGAACTATGGGGAAAAGCCCTGACCCCGTAGTTCTCCTTTAATCAGCCCTCGTTAACTCCTTCTTTCCCTTCTCCTTTTAACGGTTATTCCCCTGCTGATTTTTTTCTTCAATAATTCCATAGCAGTTATGTAAAAATCGCTCTGGTTCGTAGGTGGTGTACAGGTATGATAGGCGAAGAGGTTAGGGCATGGCCAGCCACAATCAGTCTGTAGGAACGTCAGTGCTGGCATTTACATGAACATCTTCTGGCTATTTAAATCAGTTCCCTCATTACAAAAACAAGTCGGATCAATGCTGTCATTGTTACCAGGTAGTGCAGAATGATTGGGCTGTATCTCCAGATCAGGAGTTTTTACTGATCTCCAATGGATTGCCCAATATGTCCCCATACTTCCTTCACCAGACCATGAATCGTGGTCAAAAAAGTAAACTTGGACTTTAACTCCCAACAGTGCCAACTGGCAATACTGGGTAGCTCGAAGACATCCACGTTAAGCAATCTGATTGTAGATTGGTTAGTGGCCATACCACCTCAGTCCTTATTAATAACTGTAATAGAAGCTAATTTTAATTATTCGGTGATCTAGTCCCAGGTTCCCATTATCCCAATGAGTATGGATACTCTAGTTAGGAGCCCCCTGTCCTAGAGGTTGAACCATAATAAGGAAGTCGGTGGCTGTAACTCATGCGTCTTTCCTGATGGGTTTCCTTTCACTGAACTTTATAAACTCTTTTTATTAAATTGCCAATTTGGTTCTCATTTTTCTGGGGCGGAATGTAGCAGAGAATGTCCTGTGGAAGGCCAAATGGAATGTCTGAAACCTTTGGATACTGAAGTACTGTGTGCACAATGTGACTTGACTATGTTTACTGAAGGATACAGTGCTGTTTGTGCAGGGTCATGGGTAACGCACAGACTCGGGCTCATTGTGTACAATCAAATTTCATACTTGACGAACGAGATGGGACAGTTACGGGAGGACATATGTGTGTGTGGTCTGCCTATTATTCATTATGTACTGTGATCTCTGGTAAGTGATAGTTGAGATGGCTGTCTTCTTTTCAGGGATGTCCAAGGTTACATTTCTCAAACAATAGACGACTGGTCTGTATGCTGATATCGGTTTCAGCTCTGTATTCATGTTCTGTGTTAGCATTGGTCTTGGCTGTTTGTTATAAACTGCTTAGTACTTATCCTCACCAAAATTTCAAACTTGATGCAAAATATAGATAGAAGAGCAATTTCACCCAAAAATCTGTGGGTGGCGACACATCATGGTGCAGGCTGGTTTTACAGTACTTCAGGACTTAGCGGCACTTACGTGTCATTGCATTTATAGCCTTTTTTTGCCTGAAGAATAAAATCGGACCCCAGCAAAAGCTTTTACATTTTGGATGGAGGTGGGAAGGTTAGTTCTGTCAGGGTGTTTTTTGTTGTCTGTGTCACCATCGGGGAGATTCCCCTTACATCCAGGATGTGATGGACAGTAAAGGAGAATCCCACCTTTTGATAAATGTCACTGGATAGGGTAACAACTGTAAAAGTACAGCCTGCCCCTTTGATAGGCCTGTTGTACCTGTGAGCCATTCCTAGTGACTGTAGATCGGACCGGTAT